AGTTCTATAGGAGCAGAGAGAGTTCTATAGGAGCAGAGAGAGAGTTCTATAGGAGCAGAGAGAGTTCTATAGGAGCAGAGAGAGTTCTATAGGAGCAGAGAGAGAGTTCTATAGGAGCAGAGAGAGTTCTAGAGGAGCAGAGAGAGTTATATAGGAGCAGAGAGAGTTCTATAGGAGCAGAGAGAGAGTTCTATAGGAGCAGAGAGAGTTCTATAGGAGCAGAGAGAGTTCTAGAGGAGCAGAGAGAGTTATATAGGAGCAGAGAGAGTTCTATAGGATCAGAGAGAGAGTTCTATAGGAGCAGAGAGAGTTCTATAGGAGCAGAGAGAGTTCTATAGGAGCAGAGAGAGTTCTAGAGGAGCAGAGAGCGTTATATAGGAGCAGAGAGAGTTCTATAGGAGCAGAGAGAGTTCTATAGGAGCAGAGAGAGTTCTATAGGAGCAGAGAGAGAGTTCTATGGGAGCAGAGAGAGTTCTATAGAAGCAGAGAGAGTTCTATAGGAGCAGAGAGAGAGTTCTATAGGAGCAGAGAGAGTTCTATAGGAGCAGAGAGAGTTATATGGGAGCAGAGAGTGTTATATAGGAGCAGAGAGAGTTCTATAGGAGCAGAGAGAGTTCTATAGAAGCAGAGAGAGTTCTATAGGAGCAGAGAGAGAGTTCTATAGGAGCAGAGAGTGTTATATAGGAGCAGAGAGAGTTCTATAGGAGCAGAGAGAGTTCTATAGAAGCAGAGAGAGTTCTATAGGAGCAGAGAGAGAGTTCTATAGGAGCAGAGAGAGTTCTATAGGAGCAGAGAGAGAGTTCTATGGGAGCAGAGAGAGTTCTATAGGAGCAGAGAGAGAGTTCTAGAGGAGCAGAGAGAGTTATATGGGAGCAGAGAGAGTTCTATAGGAGCAGAGAGAGTTATATAGGAGCAGAGAGAGAGTTCTAGAGGAGCAGAGAGAGTTCTATAGGAGCAGAGAGAGTTCTATAGGAGCAGAGAGAGGTCTATAGGAGCAGAGAGAGAGTTCTATAGGAGCAGAGAGAGTTCTATAGGAGCAGAGAGAGAGTTCTATAGGAGCAGAGAGAGTTCTATAGGAGCAGAGAGAGAGTTCTATAGGAGCAGAAAGAGAGTTCTATAGGAGCAGAGAGAGAGTTCTATAGGAGCAGAGAGAGTTCTATAGGAGCAGAGAGAGTTCTATAGGAGCAGAGAGAGTTCTATAGGAGCAGAGAGAGTTCTAGAGGAGCAGAGAGAGTTCTATAGGAGCAGAGAGAGTTCTATAGGAGCAGAGAGAGTTCTATAGAAGCAGAGAGAGTTCTATAGGAGCAGAGAGAGAGTTCTATAGGAGCAGAGAGAGTTCTATAGGAGCAGAGAGAGAGTTCTATGGGAGCAGAGAGAGTTCTATAGAAGCAGAGAGAGTTCTATAGGAGCAGAGAGAGAGTTCTATAGGAGCAGAGAGAGTTCTATAGGAGCAGAGAGAGAGTTCTATGGGAGCAGAGAGAGTTCTATAGAAGCAGAGAGAGTTATATGGGAGCAGAGAGAGTTCTATAGGAGCAGAGAGAGAGTTCTAGAGGAGCAGAGAGAGTTCTATAGGAGCAGAGAGAGTTCTATAGGAGCAGAGAGAGTTCTATAGGAGCAGAGAGTGTTCTATAGGAGCAGAGAGAGTTCTATAGGAGCAGAGAGAGTTCTATAGGAGCAGAGAGAGAGTTCTATAGGAGCAGAAAGAGAGTTCTATAGGAGCAGAGAGAGAGTTTTATAGGAGCAGAGAGAGTTCTATAGGAGCAGAGAGAGTTCTATAGGAGCAGAGAGAGTTCTATAGGAGCAGAGAGAGAGTTCTATAGGAGCAGAGAGAGTTATATAGGAGCAGAGAGAGAGTTCTATGGGAGCAGAGAGAGTTCTATAGGAGCAGAGAGAGAGTTCTATAGGAGCAGAGAGAGAGTTCTATAGGAGCAGAGAGAGTTCTATAGGAGCAGAGAGAGTTCTATAGGAGCAGAGAGAGTTCTATAGGAGCAGAGAGAGTTCTATAGGAGCAGAGAGTGTTCTATAGGAGAAGAAAGAGTTCTATAGGGGCAGAGAGAGTTCTATAGGAGTAGAGAGAGTTCTATAGGAGAAGAGAGTTCTATAGGAGCAGAGAGAGTTCTATAGGAGCAAAGAGAGTTCTATAGGAGCAGAGAGAGTTCTCTAGGAGCAGAGAGAGTTCTATAGGAGCAGAGAGAGGTCTATAGGAGCAGAGAGAGTTCTATAGGAGCAGAGAGAGAGTTCTATAGGAGCAGAGAGAGTTCTATAGGAGCAGAGAGAGTTCTATAGGAGCAGAGAGAGAGTTCTATAGGAGCAGAGAGAGTTCTATAGGAGCAGAGAGAGTTCTATAGGAGCAGAGAGAGAGTTCTATAGGAGCAGAGAGTGTTCTATACTAGCAGAGAGAGTTCTATAGGAGCAGAGAGAGAGTTCTATAGGAGCAGAGAGTGTTCTATAGGAGCAGAGAGAGTTCTATAGGAGCAGAGAGAGAGTTCTATAGCAGCAGAGAGAGTTCTATAGGAGCAGAGAGAGAGTTCTATAGGAGCAGAGAGAGTTCTATAGGAGCAGAGAGAGTTCTATAGGAGCAGAGAGTGTTCTATAGGAGCAGAGAGAGTTCTATAGGAGCAGAGAGAGAGTTCTATAGCAGCAGAGAGAGTTCTATAGGAGCAGAGAGAGAGAGTTCTATAGGAGCAGAGAGAGTTCTATAGGAGCAGAGAGAGTTCAGATGTGTTTCTTGGTTCAGTCTCAGGCGGCGGTGGTGAAAGTTCAGCGTCACCTGCTCGCGGAGGGGGGGTGCGGGGGGGGTCTTTCACGCTCTCAGCAACAGTCCATTAACATGACTTTGTACAGATACAGAACAGAGGCCCTGAGGCAGTAGCGGCTGAATGAAAGTGACACCGGGTTTTAAAGCTCCTCTTTGAAGCGTCAGGACTATTCTCTGCTGAACTTTTGACTCAGAGATCCAGAAAAGCAAAGTTCTTACAAATGTCCAACAGTAGTTAGGTTTAGCAGGAGGCGTTTATATTTAGGACTGGGTTCTTTGACCGACAAACCTCTGTATATAATAATGATGTTTTTTTTCTTACATTATTGATTTATTTCAAGCAACCAACAAAGAAGGAAGACATCCAACACCCTTTTGTTGTTCTGGACATGGTGAGTTATAGTAGTAACTAAGGTTAGGCCTCTGTAAGTTTTTTACTTTTTTACAGCCCTGAACCCCATATTTTTTCTTTTTCTTTAAATGATCTGTATTGTCCGAGTTGTTTAAAAAGTGACTGAAAAAATAAACTACTACTACAACACAGGGAGTGGCGAGAAGTATAACTTATTAATCTCTGAGGAAAAAGTAAATAAAAGCTGCTTTCTCAAACAATACAATAATAAAAGTAATGCATTTGGTAATTATTGATCAGTTTATACAGCGCTTTTCAGGACTCTCTAAGACGTCATTATTCTCTCATTATTCTTCTAATGTGGGGGAAGTGTCTTGCCTAAGGACACAACCACAGTTTGGTACTTTACAGCCCCGGCCCAGGCCCTGCCCTGCTTAGCTTCAGAGGTCTCCCATCACAGCACTAACCAGGCCCTGCCCTGCTTAGCCTCATAGGTCTGACAGGATCTAGCTCTTTAATAATGATTCTGATCTGAAAGATGAAAACCATCCTGGTTCTCCCCGACACAGGACTGGGCAATCATAGAACGCCACGGTCCTGGGTCTACAGCCTCAGTCCTGGGTCTACAGCCTCAGTACTGGATCTACAGCCTCAGTACTGGATCTACAGCCTCAGTACTGGATCTACAGCCTCAGTACTGGGTCTACAGCCTCAGACCTGGATCTACAGCCTCAGTCCTGGGTCTACAGCCTCAGTCCTGGGTCTACAGCCTCAGTCCTGGGTCTACAGCCTCAGTCCTGGGTCTACAGCCTCAGTCCTGGATCTACAGCCTCAGTACTGGGTCTACAGCCTCAGTCCTGGACCTACAGCCTCAGTCCTGGATCTACAGCCTCAGTCCTGGGTCTACAGCCTCAGACCTGGATCTACAGCCTCAGTCCTGGATCTACAGCCTCAGTCCTGGGTCTACAGCCTCAGTCCTGGACCTACAGCCTCAGTCCTGGATCTACAGCCTCAGTCCTGGGTCTACAGCCTCAGACCTGGATCTACAGCCTCAGTCCTGGATCTACAGCCTCAGTCCTGGGTCTACAGTACAGCCTCAGTCCTGGACCTACAGCCTCAGTCCTGGGTCTACAGCCTCAGTCCTGGACATGATTTCTGAAAAGGTGAATAGACAAATGCTGTAATCTCTGCTGACGTTGCGGCTCCGTGTGACACATGATCCTGTGGCTGCTGCTGCTTCGCTGTAATGTGCTCCTGAGACATCTGAGACTTCATGGCCACGTATTGACTTGAAAAATAGTGATTTTCGAGTTGGAGACAAAACTGATGCTGAATAACTCTCGATGTTTGGAGTAAAATATATGTCAGCATTAATGAGGTCTGAACTGTGTCGTCGCAGTCAGAAGGTCTTAAAGGAGTATGGGTTAGGGTTATGGCTCTAAATCACAACAGTAGTTATCTCTGAGGACTTTAGAAAACCGTCGATTCACCAACAACAGATCAGAGAATCAAACACCTGGACACTCAACAACACTCATGGACTTTGGTCTCGGCCCTTTATGAACCAAAACCAATGTGTTTTCTGTTTTATTGAACTCTTTAATTCTCTGCTCTGTGTTATGTAAAGTCCTCCGAGAAAACTACTGTTGTGATTTAGCACTTTACAAGAATAAAGTGAATAGAATTGTGCGAAAGGATCGATCCCAGCTGCACTTCTGCTCCAAACATTAGGCTTTGATTGCGATGGACTCGAGCCAAAGACACGCACCTCCCTAAGTCTGCGCCCTTCACAGCTGCAGATCCGTGTCCTCAACAACCACATCTACTCCCAGCACAGAACGCAGCATTTTCCCAAACTTCCGACACAGAAGAGAGGGGCGTGAGTGGCAGATGTGGAGTGACGGCGAGCTCAGTCCGGCGCCCGCGGACCACAGCGACGGCAGCATTAGCATCATGAGCATATGTCACGTCTTGTCAGGGAGCGTTCCGATTGGTTCGTCTGCTCAAAGAAGTGACGAGCTGACAGACACAGCAGATGTGCACTTTATCACTCCCCCACTTTCTGTTGTGGAGATGCAGCGGCACTTTGATGATGTGCTTAAAGTGGAGCTCGGAGACTAAAGTGCCTCTTGCAGCTGGAGCGCCACTCGGAGACAATTAACTACGTAACAAAGTCTGAAAACAGTTTGGTTCTATCGCTGCTTTTCACATGATTCCAGTTCCCACCTCTTCAACACTGCCTTCACTTAAAGCAGGGGTGTCCAAAGTTTTTAGTGAGAGGGCCAGACTAGTCCAGGGGCCGACGTCACGGACTGAAAAACCGTCTTGACTGAGATCAGGCTGTTCTGAGCTTTAAAATGATGTATAACAAGTTGGCTGAATGACAAATGCTTACATCACCAGCTTCATTAGCAACATTAACATTAACAGAAGTTTGTGACATAATCCAAATCAACGTTGGTACAGTTTGTGCAAATAAAGTCAACGACTGAATTCTAGACGTACTGAGCTTTAGAACGAGTTATGACAGGTCTATATTGGCTGAGCTGAAGTTGGATGGATGACACATTACGAAAGACGACTTTGGGTTAGCATGACAGAGGGCCACATAATGACACTCAGAGCCGCAATTGGCCCCCGGGCCTGAGTTTGGACGTGCCTGACTTTAAGGTCTGCAGGAGGATTTTCTACTTCCGGGTGGATCAACACTATTGGTCCTCCCAACTGTCAATCATTCTGCTGATACAGTACGTGCTCGTCCAATCAGAGCAGAGAGTTTTGTTCAAAAAGTGGAGAGAGCGGTTCTTTCCTAAAATTTGGGAAAATCCTCTTTTATACATTTAACTGTTTATTTTTAGCTTTTTGATTAAATTTCTTGTTTTTCTTCTGTAAAGTGTCTTTGAGTGTCCACAAAACCCCTGAATCTCAACAGTAGTTATCTCAGAGGACTTTACAAACACACAGAGCCATCGGACCATGAAGAGCAGAGACCAGCGTCAAGAAACAGCTCTAAAGACCATGGACGTTTGGATCATGATATTTTCAGATCGGCCAATCAGCTCAGACTACACTATAAGATGAAGCTGTGGTACGTTTTTAAGAGATTTATTCTTATTTTGTAATGTTTTTTTTTTCAATGGAGATACATTTCTATAGAAGTTTAAATATAAATGGATCAAAGTCATGTTGTCGTTAAAGTGGTTATTAGGCCCAATTTTTTACGGAATTGTATCATGAAATATATTTAAAAAAGTATCCAGACTTATATCGGCTGTTCTTCAGATGGTGAAGAATCTGCCAATCATACACTGCAATGGTGGGTTTTTTTTTCAGACCTCAGAAGCTAAGCAGGGCAGTGCCTGGTTAGTACTGTGATGGGAGACCTCTGGGAACATCAGGGGTTGTGTGTTTTGCGTAGCTTGCCCATCGTGTGTTTTCAAGTTTAAACTATTGGTTCTTTTTACTCAAGTTAAGTTTTCTGTATAATTTAATCGGTGAGACTTTGTCGAATGAGTTCAAATAAACGTTGGTATTTTTCCGAACACAAACCTTCTCCTCATTTCCCCAAATCCTCATCACAGAATCAGATCGGAATCCAAATGTTTCTTTCCAACAGATTTAGTAAATCCCATGTATTTTGTGAATGAACCATCTCTCGTTAACTCTCGCCGCCGCCAGCTCCCGATAAACGGCGGTGAGAGAGAGTTGTTGGATTGTGCAACGACGGCAGGACCAAAATAATGAGCAGATTGAGGTTGAACAGCCACTAATTAGACAGGGTCCTCCCAAGTTCAAGGACGCTTTCAATTTAGCTGATAAAGATGAGAGCGAGGCCGAGGCTTCCAACATCTTCATTATCCCAGAGCTGGTGGCGCCCGGGGGAGAGAGCGCCGGAGAGCGAGAGAGCACCGGAGAGCGAGAGAGCGTCGGAGAGCGAGAGAGTCAGAGAGAGAGTGGGTAATGGGAGCCAAAGGGGCTCAGGGTGATCCGGGGAAGGGACTACATAAGAAAAGCCTGATGGACTTAACTATAGAGGCCTGGGTTCACTTGGGAGGGGCGGGGTCAGCACTTTCCCGTCCAATTACCAAGCAGCGAGCGGAGACATCTGATCTGAGGTCGATGTGGGTTAAAGACAGAGGAAGTATTCATACATGTAAACATCAGGCTGTAGACCCAGGACTGAGGCTGTAGATCCAGGACTGAGGCTGTAGACCCAGGACTGAGGCTGTAGACCCAGGACTGAGGCTGTAGATCCAGGACTGAGGCTGTAGACCCAGGACTGAGGCCGTAGACCCAGGACTGAGGCTGTAGATCCAGGACTGAGGCTGTAGACCCAGGACTGAGGCCGTAGACCCAGGACTGAGGCTGTAGATCCAGGACTGAGGCTGTAGACCCAGGACTGAGGCCGTAGACCCAGGACTGAGGCCGTAGACCCAGGACTGAGGCTGTAGATCCAGGACTGAGGCTGTGGACCCAGGACTGAGGCTGTAGACCCAGGACTGAGGCTGTAGACCCAGGACTGAGGCTGTAGATCCAGGACTGAGGCTGTAGACCCAGGACTGAGGCTGTAGATCTAAGACTGAGACTGTAGACCCAGGACTGAGGCTGTAGACCCAGGACTGAGGCTGTAGGCCCAGGACTGAGGCTGTAGATCTAAGACTGAGACTGTAGACCCAGGACTGAGGCTGTAGACCCAGGACTGAGGCTGTAGGCCCAGGACTGAGGCTGTAGACCCAGGACTGAGGCTGTAGGCCCAGGACTGAGGCTGTAGACCCAGGACTGAGGCTTTGCATTACCGTTTACAATATTCTCTTCTCAGAAACTACAGTAATCCAACACACAAACCCTCGCAGTGACATTAAAGTCCGGTCTAAAGACTTAAAGTCCGGTCTAAAGACTTAAAGTCCGGTCTAAAGACTTAAAGTCCGGTCTAAAGACTTAAAGTCCGGTCTAAAGACTTAAAGTCCGGTCTAAAGACTTTGAACAGCCTCAGAGTGACAGAAGTGAAGCGTCAGCGATCTGCGTCTGTGCCTCAGCCCTCGGTCTGTTAATGAGGTCCGCGATAACATCAGTGTTTGGAGAAACTAATGTAGAACGAGACGAGGCTTAGAAAGTTCAGCTGAAGTGCGTCTCAGAGTCGACAGAACAAGAAACAGAACGACGTGGTCACGGTCACGGTGAGAAGGAGGCAGCGTTTACACTTTTATACTTTTAATCTATGTCTTTTAGAACTGTTTGTGAATTTATGAAATCCTCGGGTAGGAACCATCCTCGGGTAGGAACCATGGTTTAGTCGCCTGTTTTCCATGACACTAATTGAGTTACGACTAAGATCCTTTGTTGGTCCCACAGCGGGGAAATGTCAGTGTTGCATCATGGGTAACAGAACAGTAGGAATGAGGAGCACACAAGATTAATGAACAATAACTCTGTAAAATCTCTAAGTTCAGCAAAATAAAGAAGTGAGTAAACATGTCCAAAGTAGTAAGTAATGTTTATTTATATAGCGCCTTTCTCAGACCAGAGTCTGTTTAGACACTAACAACACAATAATACTCATCTGTTTAGACACCAACAACACAATAATACTCATCTGTTTTGACACTAACAACACAATAATACTATCTGTTTAGACACTAACAACACAATAATACTCATCTGTTTAGACACTAACAACACAATAATACTCATCTGTTTAGACACTAACAACACAATAATACTATCTGTTTAGACACTAACAACACAATAATACTATCTGTTTAGACACCAATAAAAGAACCACACAATCCTCTTCATGCTTCTAACTGTATTTTAACTGAATGTACTTTTTACTTTTGATGTAAGACGACCTTTGGTGTTTAGTAAGGAATCTATGAAATACTATGTACTATTATATATATATATATATATATATACACACAGACGCACACACACAGACGCACACACACACACACACGTTTGGAAAAGGGGCTCACGAAGCAGATGTTTATGAATCTCTAAACTCGGCACGGTGGCAGAGTGGATAGCACTCTCGCCTCTCAGCAAGAAGGTCCTGGGTTCGAATCCCGGCCGGACCAGGGCCTTTCTGAGTGGAGTTTGCATGTTCTCCCCGTGTCTGCGTAGGTTTCCTCCGGGTGCTCCGGTTTCCCCTATCACTGAAAATATGTACAATAGGTCTGACATGTGCCTCCTGTACTGGCCCCGCTCCCATCTCTGTGTGGAGTGAGAGGACAAGTGCCCAAAAATAACAATTGTAAACCGCTTTGAGACTCTGGTCTGTGAAAGGCGGTATATAAATAAACATTACTTACTTACTTACAAACTCGCCTCAAACTTTCAACACAGACGGTTGGGCCTCGAGGTTTCTCTCTTCCTCTCAGAGTGTTTTAGAGCCGCTCTGATGCAGGAGGCTCTAAGGTTTCTCTCTTCCTCTCAGAGTGTTGTAGAGCCGCTCTGATGCAGGAGGCTCTAAGGTTTCTCTCTTCCTCTCAGAGTGTTTTAGAGCCGCTCTGATGCAGGAGGCTCTAAGGTTTCTCTCTTCCTCTCAGAGTGTTTTAGAGCCGCTCTGATGCAGGAGGCTCTAAGGTTTCTCTCTTCCTCTCAGAGTGTTGTAGAGCCGCTCTGATGCAGGAGGCTCTAAGGTTTCTCTCTTCCTCTCAGAGTGTTGTAGAGTCGCTCTGATGCAGGAGGCTCTAAGGTTTCTCTCTTCCTCTCAGAGTGTTTTAGAGCCGCTCTGATGCAGGAGGCTCTAAGGTTTCTCTCTTCCTCTCAGAGTGTTTTAGAGCCGCTCTGATGCAGGAGGCTCTAAGGTTTCTCTCTTCCTCTCAGAGTGTTTTAGAGTCGCTCTGATGCAGGAGGCTCTAAGGTTTCTCTCTTCCTCTCAGAGTGTTTTAGAGCCGCTCTGATGCAGGAGGCTCTAAGGTTTCTCTCTTCCTCTCAGAGTGTTGTAGAGTCGCTCTGATGCAGGAGGCTCTAAGGTTTCTCTCTTCCTCTCAGAGTGTTTTAGAGCCGCTCTGATGCAGGAGGCTCTAAGGTTTCTCTCTTCCTCTCAGAGTGTTTTAGAGTCGCTCTGATGCAGGAGGCTCTAAGGTTTCTCTCTTCCTCTCAGAGTGTTTTTAGAGCCGCTCTGATGCAGGAGGCTCTAAGGTTTCTCTCTTCCTCTCAGAGTGTTTTAGAGCCGCTCTGATGCAGGAGGCTCTAAGGTTTCTCTCGTCCTCTCAGAGTGTTTTAGAGCTGCTCTGATGCAGGAGGCTCTAAGGACACACAGGACCCAGGACTCTCCACATGTATCTACATTTATAGACTTTGGCTCTGTGTGTTTGTTATTGTTGCATTCCCTGTGTCTGAACACTCTGATTCTCTGATCTGTTGTTGGTGAATCCACAGCTTTGTAAAGTCCTCAGAGATAAACTACTGTTGTGACTTAAAGCGATTCTAAAATAACTTGAATTGAACACGATTTCAAACAAATTTGTCAGAAAACAATGAACAGATACAGAATACAATATCATATGGTACCAGAGAAAACACACACACTGTATATGACATGACACAGGCCTAAACACCCTACACCTCTCTCCCACCACTTGCTCTGAATGCATCTCTCTCTCCTCCCGCTCTTCTCCAATTCCTGCTATTTTCTTCTTTTCCCTTTGACAGAATGTGCAGCTTCTTCCAATGAACAAAAACTCTTTTAGAAACTCTAATAATTCCAAACAGACTCTGCACAAAGACGAGAGGGTTTTTCTCTTCTTCAAATTTTGCAAAAAGTCAGAGATTCTGTCGTTTGTTTGATAAAGGTTTTTGTTAGAAGTTCCAGACAGACAGACAGACAGAGGGCAGCGGTGGGGGGTGCCAGTCAGATGAAGATGGAGCCAGCAGGGGGGGGGGGCATGGGGGGTACGAGGGGGGGGGGGGGGGGGGGGGTGTATTGGCTGGTGGCATTTGCAGCCTTAATGCGGAGCGCCATGTGAAGTAACAGGTCTGCATATTAACAGAGTGAAAATACCAGGCAACCCAACACCTTTCCGTCGCTCAGACTATCAGCCCCGCACGGCAGACTTAATAACAGCAGTGTGTGTGTGTGTGTGTGTGTGTGTGTGCGTGTATGTGTGTGTGTGTGGGGACTCGCTGACAGCAATAACCTTTCAGGAATAGGAGCGTTAATTGCCCTGGTCTGGTATCAGTGAGGAAGTGGTGTAATTGCCACCGTGGACACAGTCTGCCCAAATGTCCTCGCCAAGATAAGAGGGATTCATATTTACCGTCCATTTGCGACAATAGTCATTACAAAACAATAACCGCCGCCGCCACGATAAAGAGTTCAGCCTGATCCCAGTCGGCTCCACAAATGGATCCCGTCAAAAATCAATTGGTCACTTTTCCAATAATCAACAAAGTAAATGAGTCTCGTGTTCAGGCTCCTGAGGTCGCTGCTCCTGCTCCTGAGGTCGCGGCTCCTGCTCCTGAGGTGGCGGCTCCTGAGGTCGCGGCTCCTGCTCCTGAGGTCGCGGCTCCTGCTCCTAAGGTCGCGGCTCCTGCTCCTGAGGTTGCGGCTCCTGAGGTCACTGCTCCTGAAACAGCACTTTAAAGATCCTGCACTTTTACTGAAGCTGTCGACCTGACGTCAGATCTAAGCTGTCAATCATTTCTATAGCAGAAACATCTGTGTGTGTGTGTGTCCCTGTGTGTGTGTGTGTCCCTGTATGTGTGTGTGTGTGTGTGTGTGTGTCTGTGTATGTCCGTGTGTGTGTATGCGTGTCCCTGTGTGTGTCTGTGTGGTGTTTGTACCTGCTTGTGTGTGTGTGTCCCTGTGTGGTGTTTATCCCTGTTTGTGTGTGTATGTCCGTGTGTGTGTTCGAGTGTTTGTCCCTGTGTGTGTGTGTGCGTCTCTCTGTGTATCTGTGTTTGTGTGTGCATGCGTGTCCCTGTGTGTGTCTGTGTGGTGTTTGTCCCTGTGTGTGTGTGTGTATGTCCATGCGTGGGTGTGTGTGCAAAACCTTGTTGGTTGAAACCAGGTTTGGACTGGGACCGGTCCTGAACCAGAGTTTCTGGATGCACAAAAACTGCACTCACCAAACAAATTTTACAAAGTTAAATTTGATCCAAAGAATAAGTTACACACAGGTACCTGACATATTTGTGGCAGATTAAAAACCTAAATATTGTGTGTATTGTGCTGCACTTCGCTCCTTTAAAACCACATATTGAACCCTTTTGTGAGCTAAAGCTAAAGACATTTGACCCACAGAAGACGCAGAAGCGTCAGCACTGATGGTATTCCTGGTTTTCCAGGTGCCGCTGCATCAACAGTGTTTTAAAGCTCTCTCTCGTCGTTATCCGGTCGTTTCCTGAACCCGTGTCCGTGTCGAGTGCTGTCTAAATAAATCTATAGTGTGTCCATGAGCAGCAGGCGTCGTCCTGATGAGTCCATGTGAAGTCCTCACGGAGTCTGTGCATTAATCCCCTCAGGGCGGACTCAGGGAGACCGTCCAATACTGACAACATTAGGTCAGTATTATTACTACAATAATACCACACTTTATGATATACATTCTATATTCCACTGGATTCTGTGAGAGCGTTTACTTCATGAGGCCTCACGGAGTTTCAGCCTCAGTCAAACCAGCTCTGGAAGAACACGGCAGATACAAACAACGGTTCATTCAACAAACTAGACCAGTAAATACATGTTACTCAGTCCTCAAAGACTTTGGATCCAACATGGATCTGGTTTGGATTTAGTCTGAGTAAAGTCTGAGTAAAGTCTGAGTTTTCTGTCTCTGAAAGAAGTTTATGTTCAGTTCAATGTAAGTCACAGCAACTCTAGACCTGCTTTAGACCACAGGACCAGGGTTTAGACCACAGGACCAGGGTTTAGACCACAGGACCAGGGGTTAGACCACAGGACCAGGGGTTAGACCACAGGACCAGGGGTTAGACCACAGGACCAGGGGTTAGACCACAGGACCAGGGTTTAGACCACAGGACCAGGGTTTAGACCACAGGACCAGGGGTTAGACCACAGGACCAGGGGTTAGACCACAGGACCAGGGTTTAGACCACAGGACCAGGGGTTAGACCACAGGACTAGGGTTTAGACCACAGGACCAGGGGTTAGACCACAGGACCAGGGGTTAGACCACAGGACCAGGGGTTAGACCACAGGACCAGGGGTTAGACCACAGGACCAGGGGTTAGACCACAGGACCAGGGGGTAGACCACAGGACCAGGGGTTAGACCACAGGACCAGGGGTTAGACCACAGGACCAGGGTTTAGACCACAAGACCAGGGTTTAGACCACAGGACCAGGGTTAAGACCACAGGACCAGGGTTAAGACCACAAGACCAGGGTTTAGACCACAGGACCAGGGTTAAGACCACAGGACCAGGGTTTAGACCACAAGACCAGGGTTAAGACCACAGGACCAGGGATAGGACTGGTTTAGACCTGGTTTAGACCTGGTTTAGACCTTGTTTGTACCTGGTTTGGATCTGGGCTAGACCTGGGTTAGACCTGGTTTAGACCTGTTTTAGACCTGGTTTAGACCTGGTTTAGACCTTGTTTGGACTTGGTTTGGATCTGGGCTAGACCTGGGTTAGACCTGGTTTAGACCTGGTTTAGACCTGGTGTAGACCTGTTTTAGACCTGGTGTAGACCACAGGACCTGGTTTAGACCACAGGACCAGGGTTGGGACTGGTTTAGACCTGGTTTAGACCTGGTTTAGACCTGGTTTAGACCTGGTTTAGACCTGGTTTAGACCTGGTTTAGACCTGGTTTAGACCTGGTTTAGACCACAGGACCAGGGTTGGGACTGGTTTAGACCTGGTTTAGACCTGGTTTAGACCTGGTTTAGACCTTGTTTGTACCTGGTTTGGATCTGGGCTAGACCTGGGTTAGACCTGGTTTAGACCTGGTTTAGACCACAGGACCAGGGTTGGGATCATTAAATGAATGGCGCAATTTTCCAACATTTTTCCCTACGGCCATTTTGAAACTGTTTCTGAAAGTGATGTCACATTATTCTGAACAGCGGAGATTGTCGTTACTAAACATATCATTGTTATGTCTTAAGGTTTTTAAGTACGTGTGATTTTATCTTCTATGTTTTTAATATTTCTTTCGATCCTAAATATAGGAGGGTGGATCATCAAGACTATTGGTCCTCCCAACTGTCAATCATTCTGCTGATACGTGCTCGTCCAATAATAGCAGAGAGATTGGTTCCAAAAGTGGAGAGGGCGGGTCTTTCTTAAAATTTGGGAAATCATATGTTTTAATTTTATTTTTAAATGTCCATGTAGATGTTAATGTTTATGATTAATGCCTGACGTGGGTTTGCGTTGCCTTGTCCAGGAAAGTTGCTCTGCAGAAAACATTTATATTTTTATAAATTTTTATAAGTCGTTATTCCCATTATTGAAATGCCTGTGCACACTGTGGCCTCTGCAGACACCGCTGTAATCCCACTGAAGCCGTACATGAAACATAACCATATGCAAAGCAGCCTGTATGTTTGTGTGAGTCAAAGTGAAAGTGAAAGTACGGTGACACCTGCGTTAATCACGGCGCATAAACTCTCGTCCCGCTCGGGGCTGGTCCTGACAGCCGCACATATCGATCGAGTGGTGGCCGGTGGATGAACCTGTCATGGCCCTACACAGATCGGACTGGAGGATAATGAAGTCTTCCTGCTCGGTCTGACAAGCTGCGAGAGCGAGAGAGCGAGAGAGCGAGAGAGCGAGACTGCAGATGCTCCTGGGACAGCCCACGGGCGTCCTAACCACTGCCTGAATAAATTGGATGGAAAGAAGCCCCTTGAGCCGCAGACGTGATCTGTCATGATGTCATCCAAACGAGACTCAGAGAGGTCAGGTGCTAATAAAGACCGAACTCTCGCTCGCTGACACTGCATCGATTCAAGCCTAAGTGCGAGCTGACAATTCACATCTATTTGGCTGGAAACATTTTAATCCGGGTGGAAGCGGTGCAGAAAAACTCCACTTTGCTCCGTGTCTAACCTGCTGCTTCTGAAGATAGCACTGGGCTTTGAGTTTTCCACTGGATTGGTAAAGGTGTGTGTCAATCATCCTAAGTCCCGCCTCTTTGGATCGTTCAGCTTCGAATTCCTCTGTTTACGAAAAAGTCTATGGTCTTTTTAACGACTTCAACTTTACACTGAGATTATGAACGATAACTCAGAGACTTTCTCACTGATTGTGGGAAAGTTTCCATCAAAGCAATGCTAAGTTTATTTGTATGGCACAGGTGTAAACATGATCCCTTACATACTATGGCTTCACACAACTGCTGACTTTCATCATTCATTTCCAGAACAATGACATCTTGAGCTGAGAGTGTAAACATTCTTTTATATATATAATTGTCTTTATTGTACTACTTCAAGGTCTAACTCACGGCACATGGTACTGACGATTCACAACCAAAAAGAAGCCCCAACAACAGACAAAACAATGTAGAAGGAGAGACAAGAATATCTGACAGACCAGAAAAAGACAGACACAGACAGAGACTAGACAAGACATAGGCAGACCCAGAGAAACGGACACAGACAAGACACAGACAGAGAGACGGACACAGACAGAGGCAGAGACAGAGAGACGGACACAGACAAGACACAGACAGAGGCAGAGACAGAGAGACGGACACAGACAAGACACAGACAGAGAGACGGACACAGACAGAGGCAGACCCAGAGAAACGGACACAGACAAGACACAGACAGAGAGACGGACACAGACAGAGGCAGAGACAGAGAGACGGACACAGACAAGACACAGACAGAGGCAGAGACAGAGAGACGGACACAGACAAGACACAGACAGAGAGACGGACACAGACAGAGGCAGACCCAGAGAAACGGACACAGACAAGACACAGACAGAGAGACGGACACAGACAGAGGCAGAGACAGAGAAACGGACACAGACAAGACACAGACAGAGACTAGACAAGACATAGGCAGACCCAGAGAAACGGACACAGACAAGACACAGACAGAGAGACGGACACAGACAGAGGCAGAGACAGAGAGACGGACACAGACAGAGGCAGACCCAGAGAAACGGACACAGACAAGACACAGACAGAGAGACGGACACAGACAGAGGCAGAGACAGAGAGACGGACACAGACAAGACACAGACAAACACAGACAGAGACTAGACAAGACATAGGCAGACCCAGAGAAACGGACACAGACAGAGACACAGACAGAGAATAAACCCAGACTGAGACAAGACAAAGACAGACAGAGACTAGACAAGACATAGGCAGACCCAGAGAAACGGACACAGACAAGACACAGACAGAGAGACGGACACAGACAGAGGCAGAGACAGAGAGACAGACACAGACAAGACACAGACAGAGGCAGAGACAGAGAGACGGACACAGACAGAGGCAGAGACAGACGGACACAGACAAGACACAGATACAGACAGACACAGACACTCACAGACAGACACAGACACAGACAGACAGACAGACAGATACAGACAGACACAGATACAGACAGACACAGACAGACACAGACACTCACAGACACAGACAGAGACAGATACAGACAGACACACACAGACACAGACAGACAGACACAGACAGACACAGACACAGACAGACAGACAGACAGACAGATACAGACAGACACAGACAGACACAGACAGACACAGACAGAGACAGACAGATACAGACAGAGACAGATACAGACAGACACACACAGACACAGACAGATACAGACAGACACAGACAGACACACACAGACACAGACAGATACAGACAGACACAGACAGACAGACAGACACAGACAGACACAGACAGATACAGACAGACACAGACAGACAGACAGACACAGACAGACAGACAGACAGACAGACAGAGACAGACAGACACAGACAGACAGACACAGACAGACACAGACAGAGACAGACACAGACAGAGACAGATACAGACAGACACACACAGACAGATACAGACAGACACAGACAGACAGATACAGACAGACACAGACAGACACAGACAGAGACAGACACAGACAGAGACAGATACAGACAGACACACACAGACAGACACAGACAGACACAGACAGACAGACAGACACAGACAGAGACAGACAGACACAGACAGACAGACAGACAGACAGAGACAGACAGACACAGACAGACAGACACAGACAAGATGACATTCCCTCCCATTCCCACGCACCAGGCTCCTACAGGTCGAACAATGTTTGAAATCACTTTGGCTTTTAAAGGACAGTGTTGGTTTTTATAATAGGCTTCATGTGCACTTGTATATTGTAAATAGTAACTGTAACTCTATTTTAAATTTAAATGTATTCCTTAGAAGTGTTTTTTATT